GATCCAGATGAGGAGCAGAAGAATGGCAGATTTGTTAAACTTAATCAAGTGGGAGGATTCTTGTGTGACTTTTACATTAAAGACAGGCTCTGCAGGTGGAAAAGAAATAATAAAATCAAGCATAATAATAATAACAAAAAGAAATAACAAAAAAATCTACATTTTATTTAAGAACTTATGTTTACCCCTAATGATTTGTATAAAGTGCTAAATCATGTAGACAGTTACTAGGAAAAACAAACTGGTTTATCAAAGAGAAAACAAAAACTTCACAGATGAAAATGGACAAAACCTTGAAGTTGAGAAGTTGTGCTGGATCCCATGTTATGAAAACATCATTTAGCATCATGCTCTAACACACTTATTTTCTTCAAATAATATACTGTCAGGGTAAAATTAATCTGGTTTCAAAGTACCCATTTCATTATTTTCTTAACTAATCCACAGTATTGAGCAAAAGTTAAGCGAAAAATAATTAATCATCCTGGTATTTTTCAGCATTATTAATGTGTATAATGAACTATTATTGTCTTTGATTAACCTAGCCAGACTTCTGACTGGAAGCCTCCCAAACCTCAAAGTCCAAGAGTACATTACCAAAGACAAATTGTCAGTATTAAGTAAAAACATGCAAAAAGTTAATTGATACTCGAAAGCAGACTAGGACTGATGGTACACATAAAATACTGCATTTAGGCTGAATGTGTTTTGGGCATCAGGGGCAGAAAATTCATCAGTGGGCGAAGAGAGATCCCTTGATCCATACCAACCATCCTTTAACTTAGATTTATGTTAAATAGGTCATTATATATTAGATGACCAAAGCAGTGAGTTGCCTTCCTGGGGAGCTGATACCTTGCAGCAGATAGCACTGGGTTCAATACCTGGCCTAATGTATTTCTGCATGAAGAAGAGCAGAACAGTTTGTACAATGTAGATATCTGGCTGGCTTGCCAAATATATAAGCAGCTATACTGCCTTATATATCCTTATTCATGGCCTTATAATCCTAGCAGTATATGCTGAAGGTCATGTATGAGTCTTAGCAATAATAAGGTCTCTAATGCTTGATTCGTACGCAATTAGATGATATTAGATTAAGAGGTTTTGGCATAAACAGAGAACGTCTGTACAAACATCTTTCCCGATGTCAGAACAACTGGCTTGACCAGCACACGTGAATTCCAGTAAGCTTTCGACATGATATTCCTGTGCATGTGCATTTACTTAATGCAATGTTGAGACTATAAAACAGCCTGAGATTAAATGAGAGATGGAGGAAACTGAGATGTTTGACGATGTAGCCCTGAACTTATGAAGTGTTGAAGACAGCAGTCGGAATTTGAATAAATGTTTCCCCCCTCCGGAGGATAAAATGATGTGAATCGTAAGTGTCCTTCTTTCTGTCATAAAGGAATTCTACCAATGAGCTTCCACAAGTTCGGACTGATGTTTGACTCATTCTTAAAGTGTTCATCTGTTGGATTCCTTTTTAATTTTACACTGTCTGGTACATCTGATTGTTGGAAAGAAAAAAACAGAAAATGTAAAGAAAATGTTATCCACTGAAAAAGTTATGATAAGACATTATACAGATACTATTGATCAAAATCTATTAAGGACACAAAGAAAGTTGTTCAACAATCAAAAGCAGAGTAGGATTGATGTGTATTGTTGATTTTCCTGTTAATGAAAATCATGAAAGCAGATAGTGAACATGCAGAATAGCAACTCGCGGTTAATTTTGATTTCCATTGGAGCACTGCTTTTAGAAGAGACAAGATTAGATCACGTTAAGATTAGGATTAGGTCACATTAACTATAGTCAGAGTAGATCAGTGATCTGAACCCTGTCACTGTGAGTAACCTCAGAGCTGCTGTTCAACCAGGAAGGAGAGAAAAGATCCCGAGGAGGAGGAGCAGGATAGACAGACCGAGCTGTTGAATTAGTTAAAGTTAGAGAAGTTATTCTATAAACTCTGTCACAACAGTTTGTTTCTTTGCATTATTTGCAATACTTACATTCATAGTCTTGCCTTAATTTGGCATCCAAATAAAAAAAACAACAACAATAGCCTACCTCTTAATGATAAAAAAAAAGCACAATAACTTCTCCTGATACATAGAATAAAAACATTTCCCTTTTCATGGAAACCTAATTCAGTAGCAACAGGTTGCAGTTTGGATGCAGTTTCCCCTAAGCTCTCAGTGTTCCCATTCATCCCAATGACCCGCTATACAGTAGTATACTCCACTGTTTCTTCACCTACTTTTGTTTTTATATACAACATAATAACATATGTAAATGAAAAGACAATCAAGGTCTCAGTAACCTGTATGATGAAATAATTTTTAACTAAAACATTTTGTTTAAGATATCTGATATAAACGTATCTTATAATAACAAAAGCTACGTTTTTTTAGTAGTTACTGCAAAAGAGTCTTATAGGTAGAAATTATTAACTTTGGCCAGATGCAGATTAGTAAAAGTTTTCAGGTAAAGTGAAATTTTTTGATTATTTTTCTTTAAAATGTTTAAATTTAATTGTATTCATTTGGTTTACCATTAACTCAACAAATAAACCCAGGAGTGGTCACTCCTATCTTTTGTTGCTCTCCATCAGGAGTAATGTTGACTCTCCACTGTCACTGAGTTTCAGATCCCTGAGCTCCAGAGATGCAGTAGATCTGAAGAGGGTGATCCTACCTTCATATTCTGGTTCAGTTATGTTTGAAGTAGTCAGTGATGATATTATGGGCTTAGATGGTGAACTATCACATTGCCAGTTAACCATCAGAAAAGGTGTTTCAGTTGGATTCAAGTTTGTTTTTATCAATACTTTCCCTCAAACAGCAGCAATGAGTGGACCGTCTGGTAAAATACCATCACTTTTAGATAAACCTGGAGGAACCAAAAAGAATAATTAGAAAAAAATGTTTTAAAAGTTGAAAAATAAAACTTGATGCAACAACAAATAAATAGAGCTTCATACTGAAAAACTTGATACTTATAAACGTCCACAAAATTCCTCCATAAGTTCATGGTATCTAAGTAGTTTATCTTTATAAAAGTTTTGCAGTGTATAAAATATTAAAACGTTTTTAAAGTAAATTAACTATATTGCCAAAAGTATTTGTTAGCTTTTATATGAACAGGATCTTTAATGACATCTCATTCCTAATCCAGTTTGATGATCGAAACATTGCCAACAACAGGAAATGTAACTTTTCTGTAAATATCTTTACAAGTTCTAGGGTTATGTTCATAATTAGCTGAGAAACCAGCAGCATCTGCTCTAACTTTTCCAAAAGGGTGATGACAGTGAGGGCAATGAAGCCAAGTAGATTATCCACGCACTAAACTTTTTACACATTCAGCCATAGAAGGTATTAGAACCTCCTGATTCCTTAATTCAGTAGTTTGACCCTAGATTTATAAGATACCATAAGAATTCAGCTTCCAAGCAATGTTAGTGTGACTAAATACTTTTGGTAAATTCCAGTACAAACCAATTTAATTTGTTTAGCACTACTTAAAACAACTCAAGCTGATCTGAGTGCTGCAGGCTATAGAAGAATAAATACATATATATAGAAGATCGGCTGATGAGAAGTTATCAAAAAGTTATAGTCTACTGTAAACAGGAAATGTTTATTAATGTTCCGCAAAGGTTTGAAATTTAATTATTTAGTCCTTTCAAGGAGGAAAGGACATACATTTCTGCCTTCCCTAAGAGAATCTGGAGGCATTATAAAACACAAGTTAAATAAAATAATGGTGTGCTATCTATACATAAATGCCGAAGTAGCCTATTGTAAATGTAACTAAAGTAAAAAGCTCATGTATTTTATTTTGTATTTTTAATTTCATACCCTTTTCTAATAGTATGTTCCACCTAATGTATTTTGGTGGTGTGAAAGATACAGCTGTAACATTTTCAGCTTATGTGGTTGGAATGGATTTATCTGCTGTTTTCCAAGTAGCCTACATATAAAAATTATTTTTTGTAACTATATTATAATTTATGTTTTTTTTATTATGTTTAAGATATTACATTTTAAAACACTGTGTTGATATACTCTATTAAATATGGATTATTAGGTCAGGTTTAAAGTGCAACATGCTGAGAGAAGGGGAAAAAGCAGAACAGGAACCTGTAAATGATTTATTAGTGTTGGTAAAGGTACGGCTCAGACATTAAGCATTTTAACTTCCTTGTACATCCGTTATCAGATAGCTTCAGCAACATAGAATCAGGAAAGTTGGAGTAACAAACATTTTTGTAAAGCTTGGAATAAGATGAAAATTACTATAAGGTGTTTAATCATCCTTGGAGTTATTGCAGGTGAGTGTTAATGTTTGATAAATCCCAAAAATTATGTTATTACTTGAAAACTTTTTTTAAAGGGCTCAATTTGATCACGTGGTTTATCGATTTTAACTTCAGTTCTTCAGTATCAAGCTATATTTATTTGTTGTTGTATCAGGTTTTATTTTGAAACTTTTTAAATCATTTTTTCTTATTATTCTCCAGGTTTATCTGATGGAAGTGGTGTTTTACCAGATGGTCCATTCATTGCTTCTATTAGAGGGAAAGTATTGTTAAAAACAAACCTGAATCCAACTGAAACACCTTTTCTGGTGGTTAGCTGGCAAATTGGTGAGACGCCCATAATATCCTCACAGACTACTTCAAACAATAGTGAACCAGAATATGAAGGTAGGATCACCCTCTTCATATCTACTGGATCTCTGGAGCTCAGGGATCTGAAACTCAGTGACAGTGGAGAATATAGAGTCACCATTATTCCTGATGGAGAGCAACAAAAGATAGGAGTGACGACTCTACATGTATATGGTGAGTAAATGGTAAACCAAATTAATACAATTCAATTTCAACATTTTAAACTGACATTTTGCTGTATTCTTATCTTAGACTCCTGCTTTCATCCATCTAATGTATTCATCACTGAAAGGGCTCTAATGCCCTCCAATTATAATGTCACATAATTATGGTGAATAATCAAAAATAGTATGTAAATAACAAACCATTTGTTCCAACCTAGGCATACCTGTCAGACAATCTGTTAGATTTGATGTATTTAAATATTATATATGAAAAAACAATACAAAACTTCCAATAATACATTTGGTAAAATACATATAAACTATCTTCTCTATTTGAAGAGAAAATATGATATTCTGCTATTTTAAATGAATGTAAATATTAATTTTAATATTATTAATATTATTATTAAAGAACAAACACAGAATTCTAAATAATGCATAGGCTGGAATAAAGAAGACAAATCAAAAAATGTTATTTTGCTGATTATTTCTCCTTTTTTTAGAAGACGGCTTTATTTTGAGAGTTTCTTTTTTCTACCAACAGAACCAGTCTCTGATGTAACCGTCTTCCCACCAAGTGCAGACTTAGTTGAATTCAATAGCTCAGTCCGTCTATCCTGCTCCTCCTCCTCTGGATCTTGTCTCTCCTTCCGCTGGTTGAACAGCAGCTCTGAGGTTACTCCCAGTGACAGGGTTCAGATCACTGATGGAGGATCAACTCTGACTATAGTTAATGTGACCCGCTATGACCAGGGATCATACAGTTGTAATGTGTCTAATCTTATCTCTTCTAACAGCAGCGCTCCAATAGAAATAAGCATCAGCTGTAAGTTGATAATCTGCATATTCTCTATCTGCTTAGATATTCTTACAACCATAAGAAATTATATCAAGATAATATAACTTGTTAAAAATGCTTTCATGATTTTTATTATCAGCAAAATCTACAATATATATGTATCTGTGAAAAACTAAGTTAATACACCCATTCAAAGCATTACAAATTCCTCTATTTTTTAATAAATAAAACATTTTTATTTGCTGGATTACATCATACCTTATTTATTAGTCTATAGCAGTAATTTTGAGAAATTTGAATCTGAACAAATAACATGTGAACAATGTCTTATTTAGACTGAATGTGGTATTATTGTGTTCACATCAAAGCTACTCTGCTTTTGATTTTTGACTAATGTTTTGTATTGTATATTCTTACTTGATTTTGACAAATAGTATCTGTATAATGCCTTATCAGTACTTTTCCAGTGGATGACCTTTTTGTACAATTTCTGTTTTTCTTTTCTACAATCAGATGGTCCAGACAATGTAAGGTTAGAGGTGAATCCACCAGGAGAACATCATAAGACTGGGTCAGACATCAGACTGATCTGCTCTGTTGATTCAAAACCTTCTGCTGAATATCAGTGGTTTCTGAATGGAGACGCTCTGCCTACAGCTGGATCAGAAGTCAGACTGATGGACATTAAGATGAGTCAAAGTGGAAACTACAGCTGTCTCTGCCTTCAGCTGTTTATGTTCATGGTAGGCATGAAATATTTTTGTAAAATAAAATATCAGTTAGCTGTAACGTAATCATTAGATCATTTATATGTATTAAGATTTATCAGTCTCATTGATTAACAGTTATGATCATTAAACTAAAACCTTTAAAAAAATACATCTGACCAATTTCCCAACTCTTGAATGTAATGTGAGGAATGAGTTGGGAAGAGGAGTTGATTGAGTCATGAGGAACCAAGCAGGAACTGAAATCCATCAGAGCAGAGCTCCCTAACCCGGAAATCCCACATCCTCTGTCACCAGCGTCCCTTGGTTTTATTTTCATTTTGAGGATTTGGGGTGAAAAATGGGAAAAAAATTCATATACCTGCATCAGAGCGCTACATGTTTGATCTGTGGGCGTTTTTTTTAATGCTTGAAACAAAACTAGCAGCAGTAGTGGAGTTTGGAGATGCAATTCATTACTTAAATCTATCTTTGCTCTCCTCTAATTTATCCCGAAGTTCTACAATCAGGGGCTGCTCAGTGGCGCATTGGGTAGCACTGCTGCTTTGCAGCAGGAAGGTTCTGGGTTTGATTCCCGTCCTGTGGTCTTTCTGGGAGAACCTGAGCTTGGCTGCATATTTAGCCTTTCCTGGAAATGCCTTTTCAAATTACTCTTTTTATTACTTGACAAATTCTCTTGCCAAAGCAAAAATGCAGGCAATCATTCCGCATTGATAATGAAAACAAATCATTGGGTCCATTCTTCTTTGAATCCCCTGTTCTCATCAGCTATCTTCCTTTTTTTCCCTTTGAGATCCATGACCCAAGACACACCCGCCGCTTTCTTTGCCTGGCGCCACACCGCGCTGAGACATGTGTTGCAGGCTTTGACCACTGATCTCTATGGCACATTTATGTCTATGGCACATCTACGCACATTTTCGTAAAAATAAATGTTAACATATTATTTCAATTTATTTGTTATACAAATGTTTACAGCATTGGAAAACATAATGAATACCTCTTGCACAGCATATTAAAATAAACAAACCCCAAAAAATTAATTTTTCATACATTTTTGAAAAAGCTCAAGGGAGCCGCAAGGGGTGCACTAAAGAGTCGCATTCGGCTCTGGAGCCGCGGGTTTCCGACCCCTGGGCTAGTCAGTCCTTTAGTGCCTGCACTATCTGGACTTTGCCTGAAACCTCATATGAGTGGCAGGAGTGTTTGTCTTTTTAGTGTATTTGGCACTATTGGTCAGAAAAGTGGTGTGTACATAAAGAATGTCATTAAGAATTCATACATAGGCATACAGTATAAATACAACAATACACAATTAGATTGAAATGATTCATACAGCTGGAAAACACTTTTTTTTAATATGACAAAAAACTGCTCAAGAATTTCCCAAAAGACAAAAACACATTGTACAAGTGTAGGAGCCAATGATATATTTTTAATAATGAAGTGATTTTTTTTTTTTTTTTTTTTTTTTTTTGGATAATCTAGTTAAGTTAATCTATTTTACTTTATTGTTTGATGTTAATTTTGAGATTGTGTTTTTTTTTTTGTACCCCCACTACGTTGGTCCACACTGCAAAACGTAGTGGAGGTACATTAATGGCCATTTTTTTGTGGTACTGTTACGTTTCTTCTGCCTATACGCTTTCTATTGTTTTACGTCCTAGTCACGTGACTTTCAAGATTCCAGCTGGGAGAAGAAAAAAAAAATATATATGGCCGACATTCGCTCATTGTTTTGTGGAAAGATTAATAACTTGAGTTTGTTTTTGCATTAAAATGAGTTTTGATTACATTTCTAGTGAGAAATGTATAGTTTGTTGGCAGAATATTTACTCAGGGAATGTACATATTCACTTGCTTGTTCGTTTCTTGCAAAGATTTTTCAAGATAATGTGAAACTGTAACATTTTGGTATAAACATGGCTGAGATTTCTCTAACTTTTAGTGGGAAAATCAATAATTTCAATCAGTTTCTGCATTTAAATGGGTTTTGATTACATTTATAGGGAGAAGTGTAGGGTTTATTTACATAATATTTACTTAGTGAACATACATAATCACCCGCTTGCTAGTTTTTGCTACGTTTTTCGGATCTCGTCAGGATTATGTGAAATTGCAACGTTTTTCTGCTACCCATCGCCTGCCGCCCTATGGCAAGCCGTTTTAACATAAATTCGGCTGCTCCACCTTTACATTCAAGATATCTCAAATTGTTTTATGACTAGACGTTTTAGTAATTTAAGATATCTCTAAATATATTTTGACTAGTCAAAATTCCTATTCGGGATATCTCTAATTACATTCTGACTAGTCGAAATGACGTCAGATTTACCATTAACTTGTATGGAGACGTCAATTTAAGATATCTAGAATTAATTACTGACTATCTGAAATACACATTTCAGATATCTACAATTAAATTACGACTAGTCATAAAGGAAATTGAAGATATCTCGATTTTAGTTTTGACTAGTCATAATTCTAATTAAAGATATCTCAAATGCCACCATATTTCAAGATATCTTAAATGTATTTTAGGATAGGAGATATGCAGTTTTGACTAGTGAAAACTCAATTATAGATATCTTAAAAGCAAATAATGACTAGACAAAACAAATTTAAAGATATCTTGAATTGTAATTTCGACTATTCGAAATTCCTTTTAAGATATCTCTAAATGAATTAAAGATATCTTGAATTATTCAGCTTTTCCATTAAAGATATCTTAAATTGACATTCTGACTAGTCAAAATGACATCAGTGATATCTTGCCATAAATCAAAAACGTCAGAGATTTGCGTAGCGTTTTGGCGGACAGGTGTTAGCCTTGCTAGCTAATTGATTGTGCTATTCAGTGGTCCACGATAGCTGCGTCTCAATTTGCAGGCTGCGTTCTTCGAAGGACCCAGCCTACCCAGCCTTAGGAGGACCCAGGAGGATGCTCCGAAGGCTCCGATGGCTGTGATATGGAAATTTTTATTTTATTTTTTATTTACTTATTATTGGAGGAGGAGAGTCGGCTTTGATGGCTTCGGCGGCAGCAAAACCGTCGACGGATTTTTCTCAGGCTGGGAGAGCGCAGTGGAGAGGTAAGATCTAGGCTACATGTTATTATTTTCCCCCACAGGGGCCTGCTAATGATCAGAATATACCAGCTATTAAACAAACGTTTGTCAGCAGATTGACGAATATGTTTATCAAATTTTAGATTCATTTGTAAGACTTGATATAAGCTTGTTTGTAACTTTAGTAATTTGAATTGCATAGTTAAATGTGTACAAACCCTGTAAATAACTGACTTAAATCACTACTTTCACCATTACTAATGTTGTGTTGAGAACCCAAACGGTGTTAGATTGAGAAATAAATCATTATTTGTCTAAATTATCCCCTTACTGCCTGATTTTATTTGCAATTATATAACAAAAACAGAAAAAAAAATTCTAAATCTAAAAACGAAAGAAAAAAAAAAGTTAAATAGTGGATCTAGATTAGGTAAAATAAAATTTCTAATAATTCATGTAGCAAAGATAATGAAAAAAGATAGATGACTGAATAAAAATAAAAATTTTTGTCTCCTTTTTTCTACAGGTCATAATGGCATGTGCTGTCCTGCACAACATCTGCCTGGGAGCCCGTGACCCCCCAGATGATGTCCGACTCGCAGTCAGAAGACTCCAAGCTCATCTGTGTGGCATCCCATCCCATCCAGTCCAGCAGCACCACCAGGGACTCCTGCTCAGTGACAATTGTGTATATATATATATGTTCTCAAGTAATAATTATTGTATATCTTCCGTAAATAGTAGTAGTTAATTTTAAAATCTAATGTAGTTAAAAATGTTTTTAATAGTTTATTGTAAATACTTGCTTCTCTAAAAAATAAACTGATGTTGTCACTGAGAAGTTGTTCTAAGTTTACTTAACTTCTTACACCCTCGGGGGGAATAAATAAATTTCCGCCTGACAAAAACACACAAAAGTAAATCACTTATAGCCTCACAGCTATTAGATTTAAGAAGAAACTTTTGGTACGTCTGTAAAGGTAAGATGTCATAGAATGGTTTTCTGGTGTCAGCACCATTGTAGCTTTGACCCTGCCTGAAATATTAGGGACAAAATATTTTGCATTTTTTGAACCTCGCCAAAATTTTCTTTGAAATAAACATTGCAAAACACTACCAAAATATTATTTATAGCACAAAAAAGTAGTACAGACTTTTAAATCTAAATGTTGTGTAAAAATATACCAAATTTGGACTCAATCAGATGAATCATATTTATTTTAGAATGGTATTAGTGAGAAATTTCTTAGGCGGAGAGGCCATTTTGGCACATTTATCCATAAATGACACCAAACTGTGCCAAATGTGTTTTTTACATCAATACTGGGGGTTTGGTAAAATTACGAGGTCACGTAGCAGCTGGACCCGCCGGTGGGTCCGTAGGGTTCAAGGGGTTAAATTGTAAAGAAGTGATGAAACAGATAATGTAAAAAGGTTAAAAGACACACCGATAACAATAACTTTTATAAACAATTTAATAATTTAATTTAACAATAACAGCAACACAGAACCTCCACTTGTAAAAGACAAAACAAAACAAAAAAATCAACATCTGTCCACCATCCTCTCCAATAAATGAAATAATCTGTCCATCCTTTCCCGCCTCCCTCTGCCATCTCATATCCTCCCTCATTAAATCAACCAACTCGTCACTCCTTCTTCTCTTTCTCCTTTCCCTCCTCTCTCATCCTCATTCTCTTCCTCATCTTCACCCTGATGCTGCTCAGCCTCTGCAGCACCTGGCCCTGTTGTGTCCTCAGGGATGGAGGCAATTAGGACAGGTGGGTTTAACAGAGGGCCTCTGTCCTAATACCTCATCCATGAGGACAAACCAGGGCCAGGTGGCAGCAGTAGAATTCCCACTGACCCCCTGCTCTGTCTCTGGATCTTTGCATTCCTAAAGTGGAGGAAAACAATTTGTGTCAACAGATGCTTTTTTCTGTAGTGTTTCTTTAAAGCTATAGGAGTGTTTCATGAACTGGATGGATTGATGAAATTCTACAGAAAAAGACTACTTTGGAATGATAACCTGGAGAGGAATTTTTTCAAGCTTACTAAAAGTGTTTTAATGTAATATTATATTCATTATTGGAAAATGATTTATTCTCAAGTGAAGATTCTTTAAAATGTCTCCCAGTTTCCAAGCAAAACGTTTTCATGACTTAAGTTACTGTAAAATAAAGAATCCTTCAGGTCTTCAGATTTTATAGCAGTATACTTTAGCTAAACCCCTGTGTTACTTGTTTTATTTTGTTTTTCTTTTTTTCTATTTTTTCCTTTTGATTCTTTAAAATTTTTTGTCTGTTTAAGTTTATAGTTTTTTATCTTATAAAAACCATTATGGATTGCATCTGTTCAATTGTACCTTTCTACTGTTTGAAATAGTATTTTGAATTTGTTTTTCAACAAAATAAAATAAAAAGAAAATCTAAGTGTGAATCAGACATGAAGCAGAGGTGCGCTTTTATTTTCAGAGGAGCTGAAGGAGGGTGCTGTAATGCTTTGTGCTGTCTAGCAAGTCAAAATCAAAAGCTAGTTGGCTTTACTATAATTTCCGAAGAGGCAGAAAGCTTTACCACAGTATTAAAAACTGCATCTGGTTATTACCTGAACCGGCCCGGGCTGCCGAATATTCATTGTTTCAGATCGGACATGGGTCGATATTAACACTTTCAGCTCCTCTATGCCGTTTTTAAGTGCGTTGTGTGTGTCGGCAGAAAGTTGATCAGAAATTCTTTGCAAATTCCGCAAGCATTCTTCAAGAATGCTTTTTTTCTCGCTCTCCACATAACCCAGAATGAAAAACTCT